AGGGAGGGGGAGGCCCCTTGGCCAGGGGACAAGAAGGATGAAAATGAACGAGTGGGGAAATGGGCAAGAGAAAGAAAGAAAAAAACCCCCAAAATCTTCCAGAATGTACCTTGAACTTCTGATACTTTGACTACTTCCCCTATTCCCCCATTTTAGTAACGTCCAGCTAAAACGCAAGAGAACTTGACGTCTAGGTGTCTCTTCAGCTGCAGAACTTAACTGGCTCACTGAGGGAGTCACTTTGGCTTCAAGAACACAGGTTCCTGGAGGACGGACTATGAAGAAATTCTAGGTTACGGCTTTCTTTTCTTTTTGCTTTTTGAGTTCTGTGTCTAGAAGTCAATCCTAGGGAAATATGTGGTCAAACATGAAAAGGATGCACACACAGGGTATTTTTTTTTTTGGTCGCAGAGTTTTATAAAAATGAGGTGTTGGAAAGAAGCAAGATGGTCATCAGTTGAGCATTTGGGTGCGTGAGTCACGGTGAGTGCGTCCGTGCGGTGGGTGGGAATGATTATGCAAACATGCATCTGTTAGAGAAGGTGCTGGCGATGCCACGGAAGGAAGTCGGGGGTCCAGCCCCCTCCAGCTTCTGCCACATTTCTCCACGTCTCTCAGCGAACCTTCTCAAAGGGGTGTGAGCACTCCAGTCAGTACCTCCGTTCACTTGGCAAATCTCTCAGTTAACTTCCACACCCATGGATCCCCTGAAACGCTTGTCCAGGGCACCAGCGACCTCCACGTGCACAGCCCCAGGGACGGTTCTCTGTCATCCTGTTCAATGTCTCCGCAGCATCTGAAGCTGACCCCCCGTCCTCCCTGAGAAAACACTCTCCTCTCCTGACTCCGAGGGGCCACCCTCCTGGTTCTCCTCCTGTCCCCTAACGTCTGCTTTCTCCCCTTTGTGTCCTCTGTTTCTTCAGTCCCACTGCTAAATACGAGACCCCCTTCTCTTGTCCCCTGCATGTTCTCCCCAGGTGATGTCACCTTGTCCTATTGCTGTAAAACCAGCCGATACGTCCACCCCACACCCCTCTCCGGCTCTAGGTCATGTATCCATCCACCTGTCAACACGGCCCGTCCATGCGGCATCTAAATGTGCGTCAGAAGAGAATTCTTAGTCCCTGCTCACTTGCTTCGTTTCTCCAGGGTTTCCCAACTCAGTGACTGTACCACGCCCTGGGCAGTCCAGCCCCACGTCTGGAAGTCACTGGGGAGCCCAGCTTTGCTCCCCCCGCCACGTCCACCAGGACCCAGTGTCCAGGATTTCCTGAGTTGTTGGTGTCTGCCCTCTCTACTGCTACCTCCCTCATCCACCTTAACTTCAGCCTCTGAACCGGTTTCTGGCTGCTTCTGGATCATGTCATTCTTCTGCTTGAAATGCTTCAATTGCTTCCCAACATACTTGAGGAAAAAAATAAAAGGTGCCCCCCACCTCCTGGCAAGACTTGGTTCTTTTTCCTCCTTCTCCAGATCCTCTCGCGTCTCGTCTGTCTGCGTTCCAGTGGCTCCTTTCATTTGCACACACCAAGCCTCTGCCTTCTCCCCAGAGCCTTCACACTTACTGTCCCCTCTGCCAGGAATGCTTTTCCCTTCACTCCTTGGTTAGTCACTTTTATCCTGCAAATATCAGCTTCAGTGTCACCTCCTCCAAGGAGTCTTCCTGCCTACTCCTCCTTCACTTTCTATCACATGACCCTGCTTGTGATTATCCTGTTTCTTTACTTATTTATATCTGATGACTGTCTAGCAGTCACCTGACCCCACTCCTGACACCGGATTCCTGTCTCAGTAATCTGGTTTCTCCTTAGAGCGGCCTCCCCGACAGACTCCCCGCGAGCAGACAGCCCCTCCCTCCCTGGCACAGAGCAGCCCTCAGCTCATCTGCACACTGTGAGACTTCCCTAAACGTCTTGCAAAACACCTCTGATGGCCTGAACATGGTTCTTATCTCACTGCAATCAATGATGTGGCATCAACGTAACTGGGAAAAGTGAGCTTTTATTCCCAGCATTCATTCTGAAGGAAGAGACACCCAGGATCTGAAGGGAAGCCACACAATTGCTCAGATGCGTGTCAGCAGCCTTGGGGAGGGGAAACGAGCCAATGTCAGCAGAACACTCCAGGTGGGCTGAGTTGAGCCCACACCTACAACAGGCACATGTACACCCTCTAGTTCCTTGAGATCTTTCTGATTTTTCACTCAGAGCAAACCCTTCCACTGCAACATGTGAGTAAGGTTCTCTGCCGGCACATTTCAGGGGTGCCTGTCAGATGGGGGTTCCCTCTCCTGCTGATGATTCAGGTTAGCTTTGTTGGCGCCCAGACTCGGGGCCTCCCTGCAGCCTCCTGTGCACCAAGAGCAGGCTCCCTGCGGCCCCTCTGCTGTTAACCTGCCATCCCCTCTGCTTTTGCCTGATTCAGGGTTGGAGCATTGAGTCTTGGCCGGATGCTCTTTGGTGTCCCTCCTCGATGCCCCCAACCCCCGTCCCCAGTGCTGCGAATACCTGCCAACGACGCCATGACTCCATGTCTGCTCCCCTCTGGCCCCAGACAGCCCCAAGGCCAGGGCCGCACTGGGTTTTGTGTTCTGTCTAGTTCTGGAATGGAACGAGGCGTCCAGCAGGTGCTTCGGACCTGAAGTGACTCCACATGCGGACCTCAGAAGTCACATGGGTGGTCCCCACCGCCTCTCCCGGCCACAGCGCACCCGCTGTCCTCCGAGGGCCTGGCCTCGTGTGGGATCTGGCTTTGTTCTTTCCTTCCCGCAGACGCCCACCGTGAACCACCTACAGCTGCCCCGAGTCTCCTGCCAAAGAGTGTTCTTCCCCGGGCGGAGGGCTCCTCCCTGCTGCTCCCTGTTCTCATCCGGAGGGCACGGCTCCGAGTTCCTAACCAGGGTCCAGAACAGCGCAAGCCGGTCCCCGACACCACGCAGGTGGATGGTGTCCAGGTCGTGTCCCCAGGCTCTCCTTTCTCTCCCAGAGTCACGACTTGCTTGAAGAAACAACAAAGGCATCAAACTGGGGCCTTTCATTCTCTCGTCAGGCCTCCGGACACTCCAAGAACACAGCCTAAATGCCTTCTCGCAATGCTGTGGGCTCGTGGCCTCGCTGCCTTGCTGCGCAGGCTGCACACACACCCTGCAGGTGGACCTCTGACGCTTTCTAGTTTAGATGTCTTTCGGGATAACTGTCTAACAGAAAAGCACTCAACTGCCTCATCCTGCTAACAGAACCCCACTATGTTGAGGCAGTAAATGGGGACCCTCAATCTCAAGGAGGGTGGGCCCATCTCTACACTGAATAATTGGCTTAAAGTTGTAATTCTGTTTCCCCTGGCCACTTATTGGTCAAGGCAGACACAGGTGTGACCAAAGAGATATAAAGTGGAAAGGTGTTAAGTGAAACCACATAGATCCTTTTTTTCCTTCTTGCCTTCAATCCAACGTTGATGGCTGGAACCACAGCAGCCATCTTGGGACCGTTAGGGAAAGGCCAGGAGAAATGCAGAGGTATTGTACCACCCACATCTGGGGTACTTGTTAGGTAAGAACAATAAACCACTATTTCTTTAAGCCATTGTGGCTGGGTTTCTATTACCTGCTACCAAAAACCTTCCAACCACCACTTCTTGGCTGAGTGTGACTTGCTGTGGAATGACGCTGCAGGAATGGGAGTGGAATCTAAACCATGCATCATGGGGATACTTGGCCTGGTGTGTTTGTATTTGACAAGACTCCTTTCCTCCTAGAGTGCACTCTAGTGTCAAAATAAACACAACCGAAATTAGTTTCCTTTGAGGATTTGGTTACCTGCCTTGAAATTGCTAGAACATACTGGAATGTTCCACAACAAGAAATGGAATTCACTGGTTCAGGTGCTATTGAAATGCTGAAATGTGCTTTAATTGCACCGGTTGAGGAATCTGCCTTGGAAGAGAGAAACAAGAGAGACCAGCTCTTAGACACACCCTTTCAGCCAAACAAATACTTGTGGTTGGCTGGGCAGGAAAATAAGAGAAGTGGAGAGGAAAAAAGTACCCTAAAGTTCAGTATATTTCACATTCAGATGGGGAGCTGAAATCTCTGCAGGTCCCAGAGCAGCTACGGACCACGGGGCCGACTAATTTCTCAGCCTCGCTCACGTGGATAGTGTTCACCAGCTGCTCATCTACACGTATCAGTAATGACGTGACAGCCCAGTGGCCTCAGAGTGACATTCTGGTGCCACGAAACCTGCCCCTGAGTTCTTCCTGTAGCTACATCTGCGCACGAGTTATGATTCCAGGCTGGAACAGAAGCTGCTCGGGAATCTGCAGCTCATGCACCCGTGGTCCTCCCGCCTGCTCCCTCGGTGGGAGCCAGGGTGCTCGGGCAGGGGGTATGATGACCTCAGAATCTGGCCTTGACTTGGCACAGGCTTGGGGTTCAGCCCAGGACCCGAGGTTTTAACCTCCTAACATCCCGGGAGGGCCAGCCTTTGGAAAGAAGAGGAAACAGACTCTCCTATCTTGCTCCATCCCATCTGAAATGCCCAAGAAGACATCTTGAGGGTAAGGACTGCTGTAGGCTTGTCCACGCATCCCCCCGCCGAGGTTTCCACGAGCAAAGCCCGGGAGGCGTGGAGAGAGGGCTCCAAGACTGACAGACGGGACACCACCCGTGCACATCCTTTCTTAAGGTTTTCTGCACAAAAGCAGCAGAAATATTTCCGAGGGCGACTGTGATCATAACTTGCTTGTCTTTTGGGCAGTGATGTTAGCAAAGGGCAGCGACACTGAGCCACAAGTCGGCACCTCCTGTTTGCCAAGGCAGGGCGGAGCTTGTGCTAACCGAGCCGTTGGTCTGAGCGGGACCACATCTGCAGCTTTTTCTGTGCTGCATTTCACCCCCAAGGACGGGGGAGATGTCACCCCTGCAGTTGGCGGCCACATGCAGGTGGGTTCTGTGAGGAGGTTCTCCCTGACCTCTGGCCTCTGACCTCTGACCTGAGGTGCTTCCAGACATCTTGCTCCCTTTCAGCCTGTTGATCATGGTTATTCGGAGAAGACTCCCTTCTTATGGGTCAATATTTTTTATGGGTATATATATATACCCATACACAATATACACAATATAGATACTGTGTCTTTTTAAATTTTTTTTCTGATGGAGGGACTGGGGATTGAACCCAGGACCTCCTGCATGCTAAGCACGCGCTCTACCACTGAGCTGTACCCTCCTCACCCCTGAGACTGTCTTAAAACAAGTCCTCCCAGATGTCTCCTCCTCGCCCTCTTGGACAGATGAGAGAAGGGGTAAAAGTATCTTAACACCCTGGATAGTGCGTAACATTCATGGTCAACGCGATGTGCTCCCTGCTGCACCATCTGAAAATCACAGATTCTGAAAATCACAGAGGTGTCGCTCCAACAAAGCTAGTGCTCATTCTGCTGAAAATGAAGACCAGCAGGCTCTGTCCTTTTTCTGTCTCATCCTTGGCATTATATAAAACCACGAAAGTTGTCTACCGACAGCGCTGCAAATACCTATTTCTGAGACGTTATTTCACATAATCTTACTCCCACAGATCAAACATTGGAAAAGCATAACAAACATGCTCAGCAAGTCCCATTTCTAGCTCCATTTCAAACGTATTTGACTTGCTCAGAACCCATCTCAGAAAAGGGGATTGGGACATTGACCCCAATGCAAATATTCCTATATATTTAATCTGAGCAAAATTTTTTAAAAAATCTATCAAAAAATCACTGATTTGTCAGAGCTCTAAGACCTTGAATGTCAGGCAGAACTTTACTGCGTTAAAGGTCACCGACGTGCCTCCACCTCTGGTTCCTGAGACAGACATGGTATTCGGAATATGCTGATGCGATCTGGACAACTGGAAAATATTCGCCAAGTGTTAACCATGGCCTAGCCAATGGCTGCTGCAGAAAGACGCAGCTACGTCGCACCGCCTGACCTCGGTGACAAAGCCCGAGAGAGAGGAGGACCCCAGAAGGAAGCCCAGCAGCCCAGCCAAGGGAGAAGGTCTCCGCTCCGTGGAAGCTGAGTTAATTTCTTTGCTGAGATGGCCAGAAGGTTCTGAGCCACCCTGACGCCCCCACCTCTTTCCTAAACCCTGACCCTGGTCTTGCATCCACTGTCTCTACAACACAGCAAGGGGAAACCGGGAGGGAAAAGGAGGGACTTACCAGGAAACTTGTTCATCATAAATGAACTGTGAAAAAAATCAAAAGGAGAGAAGATTAGATACACACATGCACACACACGCTTTACAAACGCATGTTATCCGCCCTTGCTGCTGGCTGGGGGGAACTGGGGCTGGGCTAGGCTGGAGGATGCAGCACTGGTGGGCACGAGACGAGAGCATCATGCCATCCCGTCCCTCCTGCGTTTTCTCTCCAAGGGCGGAGTGAGTGGGAAGCCCCTCCAGCCTGGCTCAGTACAGCCAGACGCGCTGCAGGACTTCAGCTCTGCAAGGGGACGGATGCAGGAGCTGCTGGGTGCTCCCAAACACTCGCCCCTTCTGGGCCACCTGTAAGCTGTCTGCACATCTCTGTGTGTCGTATGGCACCTTCATGCTTTTATGGAGGCACTTGGACTTCCGTGGACTCCATCTTTTTCTTTCGGTCAACCTATTCTTTTGTTTCCTTAAAAGATTTTATTTTTTAAAGAAAATTTCGCATCGCGACCAGAGGTGGAGAATCAGCACCACTTGGCAACACGTGGAGAGAGGAAAAACACTCAATGCGGTAACAGTGAAAACCCTGGCTGGACACTGTTGGTGCCGGTGTCCTCAGCCACAGGCCTGCCCTTTTGTGAGAGGGGATTAGTGAGGATTGGAAGCCGTGGAAGACATGCAAGTGCCAGACAGAGACCTCCCCCGATTGGTTAGGATCACACAGCAGGACTGGATTTATTTAAGCCCTCGTCCATAACGCATCTAAAATTGCTCCTCATTTTGGTGGAAAAAGTGGTAGAATCCTAGCCCTTTGATTTATACAGGGAGTGGAGCCACAGAGAATAGGAGGAATTTTCCTGGCGTTGCTCCATCTGCTGCAGAGTTGGTCCTAGAACCCAGCCCTGGCTCTTAATTTCACGTTTTTCCGTGACACCCTTATGTGCCCAGATGGCATGATGCTGACACAAGACGAACGCCTCCAGACTTCATCCAAGCAGATTCACAGTTCTTCCTTTGCACACTCACAGGACACCACTGATTTGAGTGCCATCACCTCCGAGTGGCCTTCCAGCAGGGGCAGTGGCCCTCAGGAGATTCCAGGGCAGAACCCTCTGGGCATAGAGGGTGTCGACCACACAGAGATGGTAAACTCAGCTGACAACTCGGCATCACTTCAGCAACCAGTGATTATAACCACCGCCAGTTGTGGGAGACACAGAGAAAACCTCAAAGACCAGCAGGTACGGCTCAACAGGCACATGAAAGGAACCCCCTCCAATTATCCCAGAGAAGCACAGAGAAGGATGGGGAGAAACAGGCTACCCTCATTCGTAACTTGCTCTTCCCAACAAGATGCTGGAAAAGACACCGGCTTCATCAGTTTGTCGTGCTGTTGCGTGTCATTATCGGATCCAGCAGGCCGACATTTGGATAAGAATGTCAAAGCAGAGCGGGAAGAGAAACAGAAGCAAAGGGAACCACCCCGTGGTCCTGGCTGGACGGTATGAAGTCCACTCCCCAGGGAGGCGCGCATTCACAGTCACCTTTATATAATCACTGGCTTTCAAAAAATCCAAGAAATCAGGGAACAGAACAAATGATTTAAGTTGGAAAATGTTTTCTATTAATTGAACTTAATTCAATATCGGTCCTGGACAGCCGGCTGGAACAATCAATTTGTAGCCACTTACGAGCACAAGATACTGGTGAAGAGTTTATTAGGGGACCAACCTAATTTCCGTCTACGGGGAAGGCAGCCGATACTCTGTGAAGTGAAAGCAGCGTTGAGGAAGCCTTATTCTGTACCATCTAGTTGACAGGTGGGGGCGGAGATCCGTATGTCTCAGCTGTTGATTTTTGTCTCAATGATCGAATCAGTGAAAAAAAAATCAGAATGGGCTTAATTGTGCAAAAGATTCCAAAGTGAGGACAGAATTTACAGGGAACACAATAAATCAGAAATAGTGGGGCACGCCTGGACGAGACTGGACTTGACACACGATTAAGGACAGAGCCCGGAGCCTGACGTCAAGGTGGTGGCTGTGGCCCGGGGTGTTGGAGGTGGGGGTGTGGTTCGGGGAGGCAGTCGGGGAGCGAGAAATGCAGGCATCTATGCAAGTACCAGCGAACGGGCGATGGGAACCTCCGAACCCCAGGGGCAGTGATGCCGGCCACTGAGCACCCGGAGCCCCGACGCCTCGGCGACCTCGTGGCCCAGGAGCGATCGCGGTCTGGGCTGTACCCCACTACTCCAAGAGGGTTGGGTGGGAATACGAGGCGTCAAAAAGAACAATAAAATGGATAAAAGGGCTGGAAATCAGGCCTTTAAGAAAACCTAAGCGGAAAGAGGCGTGTTGGTGGAGAGAAAGGCGGCGGAGGGTGAGCTACGACCTCCGGCCGGTGTCTGGTGGAGCCTGGAGGAGGCCGACCCGCGGACGGACACAACTCAGCACTGAGACGGGGGAGCTGCCCTGCCCACAGCGTTCCTTCCGGAGGGCACGTCACCGGACCATCCCGACGGGGCCCGGGCCCGCCGTGTCTGCCAAGGTCGGCGCAGGCAAAGGTCGCTCTGGACGAACCACGTGTGGGTCAGGGAGCAGCCCCCACCTGCGTGTGCAGCAGACGGCTCACGGGGTGTCGCTGATGGCTGCAGGGAGCGGACTTCTTGTTCTTACACATTTTACTTTATTTAGTTCTCTTAAGACAAGTGCTTCATGTCCCTCTGTATTTCCACGCTCTTTCTGGGAGTAAAAGAAGACATCTTCCGCCACCCACGAGGGCGGGTGACTGGGGCGGAAGAAAATCATTCGCGCACCTGAAACAAGAAACCGCGCCCCCAGTTCCAGCCGGCCCCCACTAGGTGGCGCTCGCGTCCCAGCCCCGCGCCCGGCGGCGCTGCCCAGGCAGGCAGGTCAGGGAGGTCGACATGAAGTCGGACCAGGTCCCCTTCGTAGCTCCATTAAATCTCCTGGAAGGAGGGCAAGCACCTCAAGACAGACAGCCTCCCGCGGGCGCCTGCAGCCAGCCCACGGCTGTCACGGGGCGAGATGGCGGTCTGGAGGCGGCTCCTGCCCGGCGTCTTGAGATGGGGACGGGTGGGTCCCTCTCTTACTCCAACACACAGTCCCCAGTCCAGGGACCTGCCTAGTCGCCTTCCGAGCTGACCCACCCTTTTCCCAGGAGGGATTTTGAAAATGAGCCTCGGGAAGGCAGCTCTCTGTGCTCCGCTGGCTGTCTGGGGCCAGGCCCACAATCGCTCCAGGACACTGTGGGGCTGGCTGGCACTGATTATCTGGACCCCCATTTGCTGCACACGCTGGTCGGGGGAGGGGGCTGCTCTCTGGCCCACACGTGGTTCATCCAGAGCGACCTTTGCCTTCGCCCTAAGCTTTCCACCTGTTCTGCAGATGTGCTAAATGGGAACACACAGGCGTGAATCTGAAAAAACACTCTCTTCCTCCAGGCCTGGGAGAACCGGTTGGGTACCATGGAAACCAGCTTTGCAGTGCTGGAGTCTGCTCCAGAATTCATCTGAGAGGGACAGGCAGGTGAATCCCTGGATGGCATCCCAGGGGCCTGCCCGGGCAGCGGCCCACTCACGATGGAGCAGCAGCGGGACGACAGGCAGGGATCACCCAGGTGAGGGGGCAGGAGGGGAGAGGCTGGGCTGGCAGGCCCTGGGTTGGCTGACCAGGAGTGCAGGGCGGCCGCCTTGCAGAAGCGAAGACCTTGTAACCTGGACCGTGATCACTGGCATGGTCGGCATTCTGAGCAGTGAAAGTAATAGTAAAAAAGCACATCTCCCCTTTGCTGGGAAGGGACGCAGCCCCTTGGACACTTCTCACCCCAGAGCGTGGAGATGCCCTCAGGAGATGCGCCCACTTGGAGGCCTGACTTCCTTAGCTTTGGGGACCGAGGGTGCAGGGTGGTCTAGCTGAGGCCACGGGGATACCCTTTGAGGAATCAGACAGAATACACTGGAAAACGGCTGTCAGGCACAGATACGGTTTCCCCGTGAAGGGTACACAGGAACTCCGGTATTAGGATTCCTGCTGGGCCCAGCTGGTGGTGACGGGGCTGCAGGAGGGTAGCGGTCGAGAGGATCTGGAGGCCAGGCCTGAGCAGAGCTGGGCATCTGCCAGACACAGGCAGGGCAGGCCACAGGAGGAGGGAAGCGCCAGAGGACGGAGTTAGGATGCAGGAGATGATGGTTTTCAACCAATGGTCATGTTTGCTGAGCAGTGCAGAAACAGATTCATAACTGAAACGTCCAAGCTGCTGCCCTCGGGAAAGGGAGAGGCTCCTCTGAGCATCCCCCAGTCCGGCCAACCAACTCCCGGGTCCGGGAGCAAACGCACGATGCCCCGGCTCCTTCCCTCTCCCGGCGCCACTGATGGAAGTCCTTCCTCCTCTCAGTGGCAGGGATTTCCGAGCAGGTGACCCTTTGTACACCCACAGGTGGTTTGTTTAAGGAACTTGAACATCCTTGCCTGTGAGAATCTTTCGGCTGCCGGACTCATTCCCACTTGGCCGCTTGGCCGGGGGAGCTGAGATGTAATTATGATCGTCAGGGCCTTGGGATCACTAAACTGGAGAGAGAGGAGGGGGTCGGACTGGAGGGGGCTGTGGAGCCGGGGTGGGGGTGGGGGGCTGAAGGACAGTCATCAGCATGAGCTGAAGACATCTTCCTCTCACAGAAAGGGCGAGAGAAGACTTTTGCATCGTTTAAGATTAGTCATCTTAACGAAAGGACTCCAGGAGTGGGGAGGCAGACGCTCAGTCTAAGGACGTAAAGTAAGTGCTCCAGACACCCCCGTGGTGTTGGATTGCGTGGTGGGTGAGGTAAAATCAGACTGCACGAGGCAGACTGTGTTGGAGGGAAAATCCGAATTCTTTGCAGGGGTGATGTGACCGTACATCATATTCACCCGCTCTGGTAAATCTGAGGTATCGTAGCTCCCTCACCTTGGGCAAATCCCTGAATTCCTACAGCCTCGGTTTTGCCACCTGTAAAATGGGACTCATGTAACTGCTAGCTTGCAGAGTTGTATTTTTCCCCCTTTTTTTAAAATTTATTTTTTATGTTTTGATTGGAGTAGAGTTGATTTACAATATCATGTTGGTTTCTGGTGTACAGCACAGTGATTCAGTTATATATACATATGTTCCTTTTCCTATTCTTTTTCATAATAGGCTATTGCCAGATACCGAAAATAGTTCCCCGTGCAGTTGTGAGTACTGAACTAGAACATCTTCGTCCACAGACTCAGCAGGCACTCAGTCCCACGGGAAGCAGGCGGCCTATGCTTGTTGGAGCCAGCGCGTGCCTGGGAGGAAGCAGGTTTTGTTTTGCTGGAAGGATCTGCTCTCCACAGCTGCGCTATCCAAGGTGGTAGGCACGAGCTGTCCAAGATGGCTACGTACAACTGAATTAATTAAAGATTCAGTTCCTCGGTCTCACTAGCGGCATTTCAGGAGTGTGCCCTGGGGCTGCAGGACTGAACAGCGCCGCTCGGGCCGCCTCCGGTGGCCGGGTCGGCTGACTTGTGCCTCCTTGTCCGCACAGAGTCCCCTTCAGAGTGGGGGACCGCAGGGAGCAGAGGGGGCGTCACCTCAGATGAGCCCCGATGCCTGCCAGCACCCAGGTTGCCCAGAGGGGCCCCCCAGCTGGTGCCTTCTCCAGGTGGCCAGCACTCCCCAGGCTGGGTCCGTGATCCCTCTGAGTGACCTGGAACCTGCCTCAGAAGCCTGTCCACTCCCCCTGGAAGTTTCCCTTCTCTTGATGCTCATAATCCCGGATCTCAAAGCAGAGCTGAAGGGTAAAAATAAAGTATTCCTTTTAGGGCAGCTGTGAGATTGACGATATAATGAATCATTTGCATTTATGTAAATTATGTGATTATGTAAATTACAGTAACATTTCCATAACAGAGGCTGCCTGGGCCTGCCGGAATTTGGAGAAAGAAGAAGGTGGGGAGGCCTGAGCTGCCCATCCTCATCCTCAGCTGGGGGTGGGTGGTCTGTAAGGCTCGCAGACTATCCACGGGTAGGGGCTCACAGGACATGCTCCGAAGAGCCCAGAGTGCTAGCGGGACCTAAACGGTGACACCTGTCGTGCAGAGGGAGACCCACATCGTGGGGGAGCCTCCTGGGCCACGTCCAGCTTCTCTGGGCTTGATGCTTCGCTGTAGAGAATGTCACCAGGGGTAAAGGGGGGACACCTGACGGGGAGGCGAAAAGGCACCAAACATGCTGTATGTTTCTGAAACCATGACTGCTTTAGACAAGAGCACATTCTTATTTCCTTCTGCTCCCTCTTTAAAAACAACAACAAACTAGAAAACAGCAGAGAGCAAAGGTTAGGTGGATTCCTGATGCTGACGTGGCATGAACTGAGTCCCTTGTCTCTAAGTTAGCTGTTTGAAGCTCTGTTGGTTTCAGGATGTGCGCGCTGGTCTGACTCCTGTGGTTTGGCTTCTTGGCCTGTCCCTCTGCATCAGCTGTTTTGGAATCTGGGTAGTAATGACCCTCTGAGCACTCCCCTGGCCCAGCGGCCCTTCAGCATCCCGGGAGAAGTCATCTTCCCTGCTCTTTGGATCCCCAGCCCTCACAGATTGTCCTCAGGGCTCCTCTGCGTGGGTCTGAAGGGCCTCTCGCTGGGATGTACATGGAAGTGGCATCTGGTCCCACTCAGTCCAGACGTGCCCTCCAGGTGAATGAGTGCTTCATTCCATCACCTTGGGGGACCTGCAAGTCCATCTTCTGAACATTTCAGAACCATACAAAAGGGGAGAGGGTGAAAAAAAAACCCTAATAGTTAAAATAAATTACTGGAATGGTTGGTAATTATCTGTGGGTAGGAGGAGAGCTTTTAAATACAGGACTTTCCAGTGCCCATTGCCGGGTCTGATGGAGAAGCTTCGTGTTATGGAAGGAAAACCTGAAGAAAAGTGCTTCTGTTACCATAGAAACAGAAAGAGGAGACTAGGAAACCTTGACAAAAAGATTCAGCGTGTGGAGCGGCGGCCTGGGGCTGGCGCTGGGGCAGATTTGGGGAAACCGAGAAACCCCTGTGCTAAGTGCTGCTCTTCTGGACACAAGGCTGCTTTGCTCCTCACACCATTTTTAAGTCTCAGGTGGAGATGACCCCAAAAACTAACAGCTGTCAGGAATCCAGACAACCAAGCCACCACCATGCTCCACCTTGGCAATTCCCAAAATTTACCCTGGAGACGATCATTGCCACGCAGCAGACGAACATCATGTCCAACCATATTTGAGATTGTGTTTCTCCAAGTGTGGTGGGTGCCGCTGGCATCAGATTCACAAATGAGGATCTTGGTTAAGGTGAAAGTTTCCTGGGTCCAACCCCCGAACCTACTGAATTAAAATCTCTGGGTTGTGTGTTTCCAGTAAGCATGCTGGGCGTTTCCAGGGCATGCTGAATTTGGAGGAACTTCAGTTAAAGTAAAAAGGATCAAGACTAAACCCTGAGGTCTCAGATTTTATCTTTTCCATTACTTCCTAACAGTGGAGAAATGTAATTTTTCTCAAGATCCTAAAACTCCAGCCCTGACGCCGGGTCTGTAAAGACTCTGTCCAACCTCTAGGTCACAGCAAAGAATCACTTGCTTTTACACTCTGTTGCTGTCGGAGCCGCTGGCGTCCCATGTGCAGCTGGCTCAGCTCTGATTCATCCACAGCAGACAGGTTGCTCTGCCCAAAATCCCTGCGCGGGTGAGCATCACCCACAGCCAGAGGAAGCAAAATCGCTTTACTATTTCACACGTCATTAGCAGCATCACACTTGTTCTATCTCAAACATGTCCAGATAAATTTGACAGAAGACAGGCTATTTCACACACAGTCCAGGAAGCAACTATGTGAAAACAGAGTGAAGCCAACGCCGGCAGTTCTGCCACTGGGCGTGGATGTCTCTGAGTTTATGCTCCTGGGGAGGCCTTGGACTGTGCTGTTCTGTCTCATCACCTCGCCTCTAGCAGGGCAGGCATGTTTTTGAACTTCAGCAAAGTGCAGAGCTCTGTTCAATTACACCACCCCCTAAGATGTCTCTTGAAAAAAGTAACTTTCAAGAATCATCCTAAAATACCCCAAAGGCAGAAGAGCAGAGCGCACGTGATGTGCGTGGGCTTGGACGTCACAGGACAAAGCTCCTGCAGAGTGTGCTTGGGCAGTCTGGGCGGGGTGAAGGCGGGCTTCTAGATTTGGGGTGATCACACCTTTTCCACAGGTACAAGAACACAGAGTCCCTGTGTGTCCCTAAGTCTGCTGATCGGGAGTTCAACAGGCACACAAGCGTCTTCATTCCAGTGTGATCATTGGAGCCCTCCTGTTCCTGGGGGCTGGTCTTGACCCTGCAGGTCATCAGCTGCCCCTGGAGTGAGGAGGCTGTGGCTGTAAACCTAATTGACTGCAGACCTGCTGTTGACTGAAGGCCCCATCTGATTCCTTGGGGAAGGCCTAGTGTTAAACATCACTGTTGGTTCATCTGTATAGAGAGTTACAATTAAAGAATCTACAGGTGGTGCTCTGTGCACAGTCGGCCCTTCAGCGGATCTATTCCTGTTCTGTAGGTAAGAAAACTGAGGCCCATAGAGACTGATTCCCCCAAGGTCATTAGGGCCGATCAGGGGGGAGGGGGCCAGAGGAGGAGTCAGAGCTGCTGACACCCACGTCTGTGTCCTTCGGACTTGCTGTCCTCCTTCTCCTGGACGGCTCCCCTTGCCAAGCTGAGGGGTTTGGGTTTGTCCCCACAGGCGACATGGAGCCACTGGGCATTTAAACCAAAGACGGGCATTTGCAAGTATTCTTTGTAGAGATGCCACTGGGGTGGCTCTGAGGACCGACTGGGGCTGGAGAAGAAGTGGGTGGGCGGCTGGGAGGTTACTTGTTGCAACATTATCCTACAGTGAGCTTGGTCAGTTCAGGCCAGAGAGGCCGGAAACCTCAAGCAAAATGGGCTACGGTGGGCGGGACGCTGGGGAGGTTTTTCTAAAATGAAAACTCACAGGACAATTAAGCTGAGTGGGTGCGGTGGGAGTTGCGGGGAAGGTCAGTTTAACACACCCCTGGGTAGGGTGGGAATGGGAGCTAAAATACAGGAAGACAGCCCAGCCTTGGGGAAATCGTCCTGAGTGTAGAGACGCGTTGGGCTTGGGACGTGAAGGTGTCTGGTAGAAAGCTGCTTACCCACCACGGGCCTCAGGGATGCGCTGCCAGGAATGTGGTGAGGGTGAGGATGGCACCGGGCACTGTGGGTGGCCAGGGAGGGCTGGAGACCGGGGGGGTGGGGAGGGAATTCCCCACCCAGGGACACTGACGCCAAAGGGGGTTACCAAGGAGCCCGCGAGGAGAGGGAGGGGCGGGCTGGGGATCACAGGAGAACAGCAGGGCAGCTCGTGGAGCCCGGCGACCAGAGCCAGCCCCGGCTCAGAGCGCAGAGCACCAGGCTTGGGTCCTGGGTGATCAAAGCAGCTGGAAGAAAGAACAGCCGCCCCCACACACCTGCTCCGCCTGGAGAAGCCGCGCGCCACCCCGAGCGGGGGAGGGTGACTGGGAGGGAAAAGGCCTGGATCCTGGCGAGGTGCCCGCCACACACTTACCACGATGAGCGCGACCACGGACAGCGTGTAGTAAATCGAATCCCGCAGCAGGCACCAGGAGGAAAGAGCCACAACCTGGGAAGAGGGGAGAGAAGGTGAGAAAAGGGGCAGCCTGGCAAAGGAGGCTCCCAGACACACAGCCTAGCGTTCCTCTCCATCCTGGACCCAGGCCTCTGCCGGCTGCCAGGGCTTTACTGAAGGTCTTTAGGGCTAATAGTCCAGAGCTCCTGAAAATCAGATGCCGCGATGGAACTGAATCTGCAGTGGCTTCACTGGGGGAGATGCCCAGGAGAGAGGACAGGGAGGGAGCCAGGGAAGGTGGGAGGGCTGCCCAGCCAGGACTGGGGTCTGACCCCTGGAGGAGAGGGAAGTCTGGGTGGACGGACAGACCAAGGCAGGTCCTGCAAGGCCGAGTCAAAGTCCCGCGTCTCCCAGGAACCTCAGCTCAGCATCCCTAACGCCAAGGGGACGGGAGGAGCCATCTCACCCTGTGTCCTTGTCAGCGCTCCACCCAGAGCAGGGCAGCTGCGGCCCTTCAGAAGGGGCGCAGAACAGCTGACCTGCTATCCCCACCCCCGGCCCTTTCTCTCGTCTCTGCTAAACGCCTGGCCCTGTGGACACTTGACCCCTGGCTTAATCATAATTTTTAAAATATTGTTTTGCATATTGATCTAGAGAAAATGTTATCTTAGCAGCGGGCAGATGTCCCTGTAAGACGTGGTGGCTCTGCTGAGACCAGTGGACACGCTGCTGGAGGCTAAGCGCCTTGACCCACTGTGTGCAGACTTCCTGC